TGATTACAATGGTCCCTCTGGCCTTGGAATCTATGAAAGGGAGAAGTAATTAAATGTAATAGAAGCCACAGCTTCTAGATAGAGTTTTATGGTATTACACCCTGCTGAAAAAATGGGAGAATATTTTTAAATAGTAAATTTAGGTCTGTATTTTATTGTCCTAACCATAATGACGTAGAGCCCTTAAAGAACAAAAGAATGCCGAGAGAATTCTACAATCATTACATTGTCTATACATAGATTTTTATTATTTTTTTTTCTCAAGGCATTTTAACTTCTCCAGATAGAATTAAAAGGCTTGATCCCACAGTCTTTAAATAAAATTCCCCATGACCTCAGTTGGAGTTTTCCCTAAGTAAAGACTGTGGGACAACACCCAAAGTATATACTTGTGTCCTTGAATATGATTTTTTCTTATGGCTAAAATCTTGGATCCAACATATATCCTTTGCAGCCAGGCTGTGAGCTGAGGAGTTGGAATTCTCTGTGATTGCTGGTCCAGCCCCAGCTTGAGGAATGGCTAGCGCTAGTGTCTCCTTGTATCATTAAATCCATCAGCCTACTGCTAACCCAAAATGCCTGCTGCGTAGCAGCATGCAGGGAGCCTCCTCAGGTATGAGCCACACACACAGAAGTATACAACCCCTATGCAGACCCTTTTAATCTTGCCACCCTTCCTGCCCCTCTGTCATTTTCACAAGAGAAATGCAACAGTTTTGCTACAGGAATAAAAGAGTTAGAGAGCAGAAGCTAAAAAGTGAATAGAAAAGCAACTAAAAAAATTCATACATTTAGAAACATTTGAAAAGAATGATAAAGAACCAAAATTTTCAGAGTGCTGTGAAGAGAGTTCTGATTTGTGTTCTTACTTTTCACATTCAGTCCTGTGGGATTTTCATCGTCTTTACTACAATATTAAATAAAATAAACCCAAACCCACTGTATGTGGTATTGCTTCAAAGGAGATGAAAATTGTCTGCACCAAGATACATCACAATGAGAACTTGCTTTAGTTTTTAAGATACTTTGAAGGCCAAACCTTAGCAGTGAATAGACACTTTATACATTTTACAATTTAAGGTGCTTCTGAATGAAAAAATCCTTGTCGTTTAAAGTTTTAGGTTTTTGACTGTAATAAAATGAAGGGGTTTTATCCATAGCTATAAGTTTCAGTATTAATCTAGACTGATGTGTGCTATTTTTACATAGATACAGTATATAGATGTGGTTCCTATTAGAACAAATTGTATATTTTAGGCCCTGATCATTTAGACACGCGCTTGACTTTAAATATGTGACTTTAGGTCTCAATCCTGGAAACATATATGTGCTTAACTTTACTAACATGAGTAGTCTCATGGTAGTTAAGAACAGGCATATGTGTTTGCAGGATCAGGCATTAGCTTGCACAGTAATTTTTTAGCACTTTTATTGCTTTTCATATTAGGAAAAGTGACAGGTAGAAAGAACTCAATGCACTTGAAGTCAGTAAGAATTTTTTCTGAGTAAGTAATGTAGGATATGCCCTATCTGATGTGCTTAGCTTTCATTATAAAGTGTAACTGTAATATTTTAGTGTGTTGCAGAAATATGATGTTGCATTTATTTATTATTACTACTGAATTTTTTAAAATGTTTTGTAAAAAGTTGATATTAATATATTGTGCATTGTAATAAAGTCTTTTAATTTTCTTAAATGTACCTATAGTTTATTTTTGTAACATATAACACAGAACCATATAATCTATCATATTCACAAGGAGTGTTCAATTTTGGAATCTAAGGTCCTAGTCCAGCAACAGACTCTGTAAGACTGCCTTGACCATACAGAGCTGATTGCAGGATCTGGGGCTAAATGTAGATTCTTTTCTTACTGCAGTGCATTTGTTATGTGGGGCTGGGACACCAAAGATTTGGGTTATATTCCCAGTTTTGCCACCTTGGGCAAGTCATATCCTGTCTCTGTGTCTCAGTTTCCCCATCTATGAAATGGGAATAATGATACCAACCACCTTTGTAAGTCTTTTGAGATTTACTGACCAAAAGTGCCATGTAAGAGCTAGATATCAGTATTATATGGCTGAGTTGATCACTCCATGTTGTATGAACACAATTATGTTACATTGTATTGTCAACCTGACAGGCTATGTGGGGAACACAACTAGCTACACGTATTTGAAAGGCACAAATAGATAGAAGTGACAAAACCTGGTGGCTCCTAGGTGGGAGTAGTTGAAAGTGATACCTATACAGCAGTGGTTCCCAAACTGGGGTTTGTGAACCCTGGGGGTTCACGAAATGTTACAGGGGGTTCTTGGGGAAAAATTTCCTAATGACAGTCAGAGCTGTCCTTAGGGACCACAGGCAGCACTGGGCCAGCAGCCCAGAGCCCCTAGACTTCTAAGAGCTAAGCAGATCAAAGCAAGCATATCTATCACACTCAGGAGATTTAAACTTCAAGACTCCTTATAAGAAATGGAAAGGGAGGTGGATATTTTTTGCTATTTTTAAAATTAAATAGGCAGCTAGTATTGTTTTAAAAAATATTATGAAGAACAAGTTTAAGCTTTGTTGTAACATGCATTGTTTGCCTGGACTGCTCAAGACCTGAATGCTTGTGTAGGAGGAACTCTTTGAGTTGGCTTCTTAAATACCTTCATGCTGTTTCACATCTGATACTCCTTGAGGAAACATAGGAGCCTTGTTGTATAACAGGCTTATTCAAAGTGATACAAGCTAGTAAAGTGAGATCTTGGAAGAGTGTTGCCTTTTTCATAATGTAATAAAAATACTGTAATGATAAATAATAATTAATAATAAATAGTGTGTAATAAGCATGTCATAAAAACAAATTTCATATTTCCGAGATCACTGCTTTTACAGTTTATATTCAGGTAAAGGAGAAAATCCCTGGAAATATTCATTTTTAGGAGGGGGTTCACGAGACTAGACATTTTAGTGAAAGGGGTTCACAGGTTGTTAAAGTTTGGGAACCACTGCTATACAGCATCATCCACCCATCTTTGGGATACAGTGTAAGCTCCTGGACTGGCGGTCCAAAAGATTGAGACTTCATAGTTCTTAGGGTAGGCTTGTATGGCTGGCTTTACTATATTTTGCAATACTAACATTTTCCCTCCCAGTGGCAGGGATGTAGTCTAGTTGATTGAATGAAATATTTCCCATTTCTAATGTCTATGATTATCTGTTCCTGCCACTGTTCCTCTCTTGACTTGTGGAGAGAGAGAGAGAGAGAAACTGGCTATTATTTGATGTCCCTTCTAAAATAGGGTGACCAGACAGCAAATGTGAAAAATCCGGACGGGGGTGGGGGTAATAGGAGCCTATATAAGAAAAAGACCCAAAAACCGAGACTGTCCCTATAAAATTGGGACATCTGGTCACCCTATTCTAAAATCATCAAGGTTCCTCAATAAACTTTTCCTCCTGCTTCTCTAGCAGGCAAATCTAGTCCTTATCGTACATCTGTTTTTTCTAATTCTAATAGTCTCTGTTCAGCTGCTGAATGATTTGATGAACCAGGAAGAGAAAAAATGGTGCAGGAACCAAGCATTCAGATACGGGGTGCTGGCATAATATTTTATAGAGGGGGTGCTGATGACAGAAATCATGTATTTGGTGTTTGTTATTACCACTCCAAACCAGCAGCACCCATAGTTCAGCACCATAGTGAGGGAGGCAACCTAGTGACCGAGGATGTGGAAAAAGCTAATGTACTCAATGATTTTTTTGCCTCTG